CTAAAATCTTCTGATTATATGAGAACCTATAACAAGTTCTTCTTGATATGTGTCAGTCTGAAATTGCCTTGAAGTAGTCCTAGGAGTTGGCAAACCAGTCCTAACAGCACCTGCAGGGAAGTTTCATTGTAGGTCAAGTTGAAACAAGCAGCGTTACTGAAGATCCCTATAAACCCCCAAGAGACTTTGAATGCCACACGATTTTAAAGCAACAATCAACATGTTCTATTAGGTTAGACATGGTTGTAGACAAAAACTAAACACCAAGCCCTGCGCTATGCCAGTAAATACATAAACTTTCAAGATAATGATGATGTCAAGCTAAAGTGCTTTTTTATGTATTAAGGCAGATGACAAGAGCATACATAGGCACAAAAGAGCTACAGATTTTAGTGGTGTATATGGTAGCCATGTGGGTCTGAGACAAAAAGAAATGCTAAGTTCTGGGACTCTCGGTTCAGAGACGATATATTTTGTTACACCAACTAAGAAATCGCAAAAAAAAAAATGATCTTTTTTCCACAGACTTTCCGGCTCACATACCCCCAAAATACCCGAAACACTGGGAAAATTACCAGTGAGCCTGGTGAAGGGCGTGAGAGTACAAAAACTTGCAGAAAGAGATCTTTTTTTTGCAGGTTTTAGAACAGACACACGCTCTCTACAAAACTTTCGTAGGGTTCAAGTTGTAGGATGATGAACTAGTTTCGCAGGGATCCTCGCTGCCCCAGCGGCTCCGCTCAAGCGGCAATACGGCAGGTTCTATGGACAGTGCTTGCGCAGGGCTTAGCAGAGCTACCTGCGCGCTGACACCCGCCAACGCCGCGAGATGAAAGCAGGCGCAACACCTGAACCAGTGCGGAGGGCCCCGCGCGGCCCCGGGCAAGAGGACGAGGTGTCTTCCTCGCGGCCGGCCCGACCCGCCCGCGCCCTCACCGGAAGAACGGGTCCTCCTCGAAGCAGCGCCCCAGCCTCGCGAACATGGCTGCCCCCGCGTCCAGCTCCCACTCCGCCGCCTGCAGCCGCGACCCCAGCCCGAGCCGCCCTCCTAATGCCTCGCCCTCCACCCGCCGCGCACACGTCACGCGCTGCTAGGCTGCCATTGGCCGCCGCTGGCCCCGGCTGCCTGCTGATTGGGCTCCGGAGACAAACGGGGGGGGGGGCGCGGCGTCGCTGCCATGGTAACAGCGTGCAACACAGGGCTGCCGGGGCGGCTCCAGAACGTTCCACCGCTGGTGGGGTGGGCAGGGCGCTGCCTGGCCCCTAATGGGGGGTGCGCGTGCTAGG